ATCTGAAAGGTACTGTGGAATTGGGGCTTCACTATACTGGGTATCCTGCGGTACTGGAGGGTTATAGTGATTCTAACTGGATCTCTGATGTGGATGAGATCAAAGCCACTAGTGGATATGTTTTCACACTGGGTGGTGGTGCTGTTTCATGGAGGTCTTGCAAACAGACCATTTTGACGAGGTCAACCATGGAAGCAGAGCTAACGGCACTGGATACTGCTACTGTTGAGGCAGAATGGCTGCGTGATCTATTAATGGATCTGCCTGTTGTTGAAAAACCGGTGCCGGCTATCCTTATGAACTGTGACAATCAAACGGTAATTGTCAAAGTGAATAGTTCTAAGGATAATATGAAATCGTCTAGACATGTGAAAAGACGATTGAAGTCTGTTAGGAAATTAAGAAACTCCGGAGTTATAATGTTGGATTACATCCAAACAGCGAGAAACCTGGCAGATCCCTTCACGAAGGGACTATCACGAAATGTGATAGACAATGCATCGAAGGAGATGGGTTTGAGACCCATATGAGTTATACTATGGTGGTAACCCAGTCTATGTGATCGGAGATCCCGTGAATTAGATCCTGGGAAGAACAAACCATTAGTAAACTAGAGGAGAGTATCAATATATATACCCTCTCCAAGTGAAGATGCATGTACTCTCGTGAGCTGCAAGGCAGGTTGGCTATGCCTTAATGAGTTCTGTTGACTTTAATTAGCAAAGATGTTGTCCTGCAGAGCATTCTTGAAAGAACTCACCTTTGTGAGCTTGACTGTTGGTCGCAGTCTATGAAGATTTTGGGTGAATCTTCTAGGAAGCTTACTAAAGACCTAGAAGTATGACTTATACGCTCCACCCGAGGGGTAGTCTACAGACGGTCTAGTACCAGATAAGACTTTGAGTGAAACTTGCTTGCACAAGACTTGCAATTCAAGGCGTAGTCCATTGTTCAAGTTGTGAGTAAGTGTAGCTTGGAATTCTAGGTGGATGTTCAACCTTAATTGGTCTCCATCGAACCGCTGGTATATAAACAGTACATTGGAAAAGGCAAATCTCAGTGGGATTTTGAGATTTGGTGGGGGATTGTTGGAATTAATGAATGGGCCTTAGCCCACTCGAAGATTAATTCTTTGGAAAATCACAAAAGCCCACCTCATGGGATGGCATGCATGTGGAGTTTAGTACCACCTTACTTATTCTAGGAGAGGGGGACCTTATTAAAAGGGAGGATGCCCTCCTAGTCACTTGAAGCATGTGTGGTGGAGAGAAGAGGAGAAACACACGCGCGCGCTCGCTCGCCTGGCCTGGCCTGGCAGGGCAGGGCAGGGCAGGCGGCGCGCGTGCACGACGTACGCGTCGAATGGTCCGAAAAATTGGCTCCTCACCCTTGCGCAGATGCAGCCTCCTTTTGCAGTTTTGTTTTGCTGCAAATTCGGATTCGTTTTTGTTTTGGAAACGTTCCGAAAAATCCGGTGCGTGCAAACGGCGTGGAGTCCGGATAAGTTACGCGCGACTTATCCGGTTCGGTTACGCGCAGTAGAGATCGTGCGGGCGCCCTGATCAAGCGACCCTTCTCTATATAAATCGACCTGCCGTCTTCACGCAGCACACGCAAAATCAATCTAGGGTTTGCCTCCTACTCTGTACTGCGCCGTCGCTCGTAGACTACTCCATCCCGCTCGCCGGCGTGCACCAGCGATCGGGAGAGCAGGTCTCCGGAACCTCTGTCTTTGACGTCCTGCACCGGGAGAAGGCGGCAATAAGGTTTTTGGGAAGCGCTTCGCGCGACTGCTCCCTGTTCGTTCGCGACGGCTCGCCTTCCTCTTCGCTCGCGTGTTTCGTGCCTTCGTAGACACCTGCGAAAAGTTTCGACCAAGCAGCCGGTCTTTTCGTCACCTCGGTACGTGTTCAATATGTTGCGCATATTTGATCTGTTCATGTTATACTGTGTAGTTTACATGTGTAGATCTAATGATGCGTTCATGCTAGTTTTCATCTGTAATGTCATGATTTATTTATGGAATAGATTAAATCATTATATGTCTATAATCTCAACAGATGAAGGGAACATGTGTTTGTGCTGCTGAGCAGAGAACACAGAACACAGAGACACACACGCGAGGCATGCTCAGGCACAGGCACAGCCTTAAGTGATAATGACCTTACATTCATGGCATTACACAAAGATGTACGGTAACAATGGTGGCTCTAAAGGCTCCAGGGTGCTTTTAGGTAAGTTCAGCCCTTTCGGCAGGTTTTCGTGTATTCTTCTAGGCGACAAGCCTGGCTCCGAACTGCTCATCAGTCATCAACGGAAGTTTTGCTTCCCATTTCTCCTGCTTACTGTCATCCTAGATTTGGTACTTTGTACTACATAAATTTCTTATAAGATAGACTAAGACCAAATGTCTATCTATAGATCACTCAATTATTGTGATTGTCTGCGCTATCATGGTGTGAAAGAAATTGAAGAGTAATTTTAATACTCGTCGTTGAAGGTAGTCCCTTTTAATCAAGAAAAACATCTTCAATCTTTGCTCTACAGCTTATAAACTACTGCCAAATTTAGAATTTTAAAACTTAATTAATTTGGAGACTTATTATTGTAGTTTTTATATTGACTCTTTAAATTGCTAAGAACATATATAGATATAAAAATTTTATTCATAAATTAGGTACTGACACGGCTTATTAATTAGCTTTAGGCCAAACGATTGATTAGCAACCATCACATTTTTATTTAGAGCTGTAAATCGAACAAGGTAATAATGGTAATTCAAGATACACACTTTGCGACACAATTCTAAAGAGATCTCCAACACAATCATTCATACACGGCGCCACTCAAACATAGGCATGCATGTCCATTTCTTACGTACAGTATCTACAGCAGAACGTGCCGGGCAGCACGAGCAATAGATTGCACTCGAGCAAAAAGCCCCTCCCCTCTTCTCACCCCGTCTAACGAAGAAAGAAAAGGGAAGGAGGAAAAAAAAACATGAAAAAGAAGCCTCCTCCGCACCGCACGTCAACGATTGCTACGAAATCTCGGGTGTTCACGGAGCAGGCAAGATGGGGGAGGAAAGACCACATGTTACACGTACAGCGGCACATGCGACACGGCACTCATTGTCACTCATAGGAGTCAAATGTCATGTCGTAACGTATGTTCAGCAAGGGCCCTTCCTATCATTTTGGATGCACTATGGTGAGACAAAAATGGTGACCCTTCGGAGAAAAATAAGATACGATATTTTTTTTCATTTCAATTACAAGAAATATAGAAACAGAGGGTACATAGACAAGCCCCACGAATACGCTCTAACACACGCCCAATGAGATAAAAATCAACTTGTTAAGTTTCTTGTGATGGAATATACTCAACCGGATTCTAAGTCTTACACTCGATATGGTTGCTTACATTTACATCTAATTATACCGTCAACAATGAAATAATCATGATAACTCCATCAATCTCAAAATATATCGGATCAGACTTTTGAAGGTCTGATCATTAAGGTAGATTATGTGGGCATACGTGTATCCAATGGTTATCGTGTGTGCGTTTGTGTTGTGTTTTTGAAAAAATAGACAAAAATCAATGAATCTCTAACCTCACTAAATTCCTACTCCCTCCGTTTCATAATGTAAGACTTTCTAGCATTATCCACATATATTTAGATGTTAATAAATCTAAACACATACATATGTCTAGATTCATTAACATCTAAATGAATATGGGATATGCTAGAAAGTCTTACATTGTGAAACGGAGGAAGTACTTAACAAGACTACCCGTGTGTGCATATTTATGGACACCAAAATTTAAAACAAAATAGCCGAAAGTCATTCACCCACAACTTCTTCTAGGTCCCATGATATTGCCACTTGATGATATTAGGTGATACCCTTAATCTAGGGAGAAAGAATTTTGGGTGGGAGAGAGGGTCGTGATGAGAATTTTTTTTTTATGGTGATGAAACAAGACAACATCGAATGGGTTAGGACATGTAGAAATAGCACGTTATAGAGCTTTGTATGTTTGAACTTGTATATCAAGGTGACGTTAGCATTTAGAAAACGGGTGCTACTACACATTTCTTCACTACTGTCGCTCGATCTTGCCAACTGGCATTTTGTGCAGAAAATGTGCAGCGCCACGTCAACCTACTCTGCTTTCCTCTTGCCTCACACCACACCTACGTGAAATCAACCCACCGTGAACCAGGCCAACAACCCCCTAGCGAAGCCAGACATGCGGGGCCCACATGTCAGCGTGCCTGCGCTTTACGTGCGACGTCAGGTGGGTTCGTGTGCACATTAATGCGTACACTGGATGGCTACGTGTATACTGGAGTATATATACCAGTGTACGTACGTAGTATTACCAGGGAGGGGCAGTGTACAGCACCATGCAGGGCGCATGCACGAGGCGGGAGCCCACGTGGGGACAAGGTGGGAAGGGCGAGATGCGGCCATACGCCCACGTGGCGCGCATCCAGCGGCTGGTCACGCGGGAAAGGTAAAGTACAAGGCTGCCTCCCTCGGGCCTGACACGTCGCATTCCTCCGTACCTCCGTTGACCACATCTCGTTGGATTTTTCTGGTTTTATTATTTTATTTTTCTGCTGTAAATAACCAAGATAAAATGGTGAGGCCCCTGATGCTCGCAGGTGGAGCTAATTTGTCTGTTCTACCTCCGACGTTATTAGGCCTAACACTGGATTACAAAATCGCACAGATTTCACTTCGAAATATTTATGAAGGTTGCAAAAGGATTTGTTCTGTAATACAAAGGACAAACGATTTTACTTTTTTTTTCTCGAAGTAGAATGCTTCTGACATTTACATTTACAATTTTCTCTTTTTTTTTCTAAGGAAAAAAGGGTGGTACTATATTCTTAAGAGGAATTATGCAACCAATACAAAGAACACAAACAATGTTCTGTAGCATTTCTGAAGCAATGAAAAATTGCATTTTAACAGAAAAATCCAAAATGCACCGGTAATGAGCAACAACATTTTTTTTATTTTCCGCAATATCACATTATCCCCCTCTCCCTCTCACCACAATATATTCATCGCCCTTAACATCCAGTACTTCTGAACAAAAACAAAACTAGCCTAAAAAAAGACGAGCAAAAAAAGCAATTAAAATGACAGCTACCACCACCAATTATCTCCATTCCTGCTTTACCTCGAAAAGATTAAAATAGAGGGAAAAAAGAATCGGAAAGAAAAGGAAAGGTGAATGAAAGAAAGAGCAGGGCAAGAGCAAATTTCCAGCTCTTCCAGCTGTCGTCCGAGTCGTCACCCTATCTCTCGCTCACGTTGCCTCATCACTCATCAGGGCCGCCTACCCCCCACTGCCGAGGTGGGCCCATGCAGCGCCTCTTCGCATCGGCGCTGTTGGCCGCCGATCCGACGGTGGTGGTGCGCTCGCTCTCGGAGCTCGCGCTCCGGTGGTGGCCGAGCACCGTCACCGGCGTCTCGGCGCTCGTCGCCGCCGCCGCCCAGCTGGGCCCGACGCCGCAGGCCGCCGCCATCACCTCGCCGCACTCCCGCAACTTCTCCTGCAGCAGAAAAGTCCAAGCAAAATGATTATAGCCAGCTTCCAGGCCACGGGGGGCATTATGAGTGGTTCTAATTATGTGACAATTAAGGTATGATTAATTAACTCCACAAATGAGAAAACAACCAAAGTTTTTACAGTGCGGTCAATTGGCTGAGCTTGCTCCATATCACGAGGTAAATCATTTTTTAAAACGTAAACAGTATTTTTTTTTTACTCCAAAAGTCGCCTCTCACAGAGAGCCGGGCTATGTGTGACTGTGTCAGACGTGACAGGGGTTGTTTCGTAAATAAGTGGTGATTAAGGGGGTAATTTTAGATGAAACAAAATTTATTAAAAAAAAAAGAATCATGCTCACGCTATTTACAAAGGGGCAAGCGGCGACGCCAGCTTCGAAGCCGAGGAGGTGGGCGCCGGCGACCTCTCCGGCGGCCGCGAGGAGGGCCGCGGCGGCCGCCACGGAGGGGGAGAACTCCGCCATCTTCACCTCTGCGAAATGCACCGGAGGCAAAAGGTGAGCGCTCGCTGAATCTAACGGCGAGGACGGTGGCATTGGGCGTGGCGGCGGCTTGGACGTACCCGGCTGGACGCGGAGGAGGAGGTCGACGGCGCGGGCCTTGATGGCGTCGAGCAGCGCCGGGTGCCGCGGCTGCGGGAAGCACGCGGAGAGAAAGAAGCCGAGGAAGGCGAGCGGCGTGACGGAGCGCGTCCGCCACTCCAGCGCGTTGAGCACCATCTGCTCCATGCGCTGGATTTTCGCCTCGTCGAACATGAACTCCTCGCCCCTCTGCAACAGACCGACGCCCACACCAACGACACGAGGTTTCAGCAAATCGGATGGACGAATCCCCCCCCCCAACGAAATCGCAACCGCGCAACGGGAAATGGCATTCGTCCCGTACCTGGATGTCGGCGGCGGAGATGGCGGCGGCGCGCTGCATCTTGGCGGCGAGGGTGAGGCAGCTGATGGCGAGCAGCCGCGGCGCCCATGGGTTGCGCTCGCACTGCACGGAACCATTGGGGAATCAGATCAGAAGCGAATCCCTGCACAAAATCCAGCCAGAGAAAAGAGCCCCCGTATCACGCGTTCTTACGGCCAATTGGCGCTTGGAGAGGTAGCGATCTACGTAGTTGAGCGCGAGGTAGGCGACGCGGGGGTGCACGTCCAGCTCGCCGTCGTACCGCACCTGGGCGCGCCGATCAAAAACACGCCCGATCAGATCAAGAAAACAGGGGAAAGAACCTCGAAGAACCCCCCCAAGGAAACAAACCCAAGAGGAGAACGCGTCCCGGATACCTTGGAGATGAACCCGGCGGCCTCGCGGCGGGCGGCGGAGGCGGCGGCGGAGACGGACGGCGAGTGGTGGCCCTCGGCGTCGAGGAGGCTGGCGATCGGCTCGTCGGCGGGGCTGGTGAACGGGTTCTCGAGGTCGAACTCGTACTCGTACGCCTCCACCACCACCACCTCCTTCGCCCCCGTCGCCATGTCCATGGCCGCCGCCCGCCGCCGCGTAGTACGAGGAAGGCCCAGGAACACGCCAAGAAACCAACCGCGCGTGGTGCGTGGCTTTATGGGGGAGAGGGAGAGGAGGAGGAGGAGGAGGAGGAGGAAGCCACCATTGCTGCTACGCAGTGCTACTACTAGTACTAGCCTCTGTCTAGTTGGGAGATGGCTTTTAATAGGAAGGGGTCGGGGACAGTGGTACAAAAGGTGTGGATTTGGGGTTCTTTTTGTGAAGATCGGGAGGAAGAGGAAGAGAGGAGGAAAAAGTTCCCTCCGGGGGTGGGGCCCACCTGTCAGCGGGACGCAATGATGCCGCCCTGTGAGAGGGAGACCTGTACCCGTACTGCGTCAATACTCCATGGCTTCATCCGGCTTTGACAGCTCACAACCAACATGGAACAGGGGAATTGGTAAATTTCCTGCTGGAAATGTTTCTCCTCTTGCTATTTTCCCCCCTTTTTTTTTTCTTGTTTGTCTCATGGGTTGATGGGAAATGAAATCAATCACCGAGAATAAGATCGATAATCTTTTTTTCTCTCTTTTGATTACACTAAAATAGCATACATACACTACCGAACATACGCACTACACTCACACACCTACAAGTACGCTGTCGAACACTAGTTCCTTTAAATTTATTGGCGATATTTTTAGTACAGAACGTTACTACTTACTTTCGTATCCAGCTAATTTACATCTTCAATAGTCGACAAAGGGTCTGTTCGGCAGGCCGACTGCGACGGCTGCGACTACGGCTGTAGCTGCGCACAGTGACTGTGGCACTATTCGTGCGTAGCCGCGGCGCTGGACAGCTGAACAGGCCCAAAATTTATTAACAAAGGTGACATGAAACGCTAAACCACCAAAAGATTTATATAAAGGGAATGATAAATGTGAAAATATTGCTACATTAACCGACAATATAAAGTGGATCTCACTACTCAAATTTCCAAAGGCTGAGAAGTGGCAGCTCGTATGAAATTTCTAAACCACTCATCACACTGTCTCACTTCATTACACAGAACGTCCAATTTTCAGAAAACCCTTACAAAGAAAAAAAACCAAGAATTATCTTACTAGAGCAGCAAACAAATCTTGTTAGTTTTTTCCTCGCAAAAGAAACAATTTCTTCAGAATTTTGTTGGATCTTTGTACTGTAGTGGTGGCAGGTAGAGCAGGGGGTAACATGTAAATTCCTGGCTGTGTGGAAACGAACCCGAGTACGCGACATCGACGGCATCTGGCGGGAGAAAAACGGACAGCGCTGCATCCCCCGTTTTGACCTGCGGCCGTCGCTGTTGCAAAGAGGACAGTGGTCAACAGTGCTGCCCGGGCCCACGCGCGCGTGTTTTTACCGAAATGCCCCCTCTCCATCCTCATCATGCTGTTTGCTGTGTCCCGGGCCCACCGTGCAAAATGTCAGATTCACCCCCTGGCACGCCAAAGCTCATCCTAGCTCTCTCGTGAACCTTACCTCTGTTCGTTCTTCGGAGACGAGATTTGTGTTGAAATTTTGAATGAATTTCAGAAATGGTAAAAAGAAAAAAGAAAGGTGATTAGCTCGGTAAAAATCGCAACATGCAGACCCCCTTCAGCTGGCTGGTCACGATTCGATCGTGTTGTTTTGCTTGCACGCGTCGCTTCCTGGAGTATTATTTCTGAACCCTATGGCTACACATACTTCATCTCCTACACTAATAATCTATAGGTTTTCCAGATCGTTTAGTTGATTATCTTGACAAAACTGAACTGTGGCCATGTTAATTATGAGCACTTACCAGTTACCCACGGGATACGAGTTAAAGATCACCTTCTTTTGGAAGACAAGATTTCACATGAGTTTTTGCAGGGTTATCAAAGAAAAGTTCTTCAGTTATTGCCGGAGCGATCAGTTGATTGGCGTAATTTTGGGCAGGATTGCCCGTTCGGAAGGAACAGCTCGTGCAGCTGATATGAAATGGATAGTACTGGCCTGCGTTGAAGGGCTCAAGATTGATGTGATGATTGAGGGGACGGATCATACCACTCAGTCACTCCAATGTCTCTCAACTCGTTAATTTGTTCCATGTACAGTATACATATATATGGACACGGTAACCCTGGTTGTAAACCATGTTCTACGTATAACATATACGGAGTACTTCTCTTGTTCATCACATCTCAACGTGTCTTTGACATTAGGCCAAATCTAAGGTCAAGTGTCCATATATACATATCAAGATTAACGTAGAGTTTGATGCTATAACTGTGGGTGTATAAGTATAAATCTATTCACCAGTAGTTCAAGCGTGTGTTACTACATTCGTAGACGTTCAATAAAATATGAAATCTTGATCACTGCTCTTGACTACAAATGTGTAGTGCGCTCCCAGAAACCTCGTGGCATTTTCATAATCGTTACAGTTTCACCTCAAAATTCTCTGTTTTCAAAAACCAAAGCCTCAAATTAAACTTTCATGTGTCTGCAGAGTCTGCATCTGCATGCACCTGTAAAAAATCTACACGCAACAAAACAGCTAGTTTAACGATTACCAAGCGAGATCCCGGTCTCCCATGCAAGTGTAACAGCTACGGCTGCACATTAATCCCCGTTTTCTTTTCTCCCATGAGGCAACCGGCTCAGTACGGCGCTACATATCGTGAGCATATATGTATCCGTGCTTGCTCTTGGACCAGAGCGCTTGTTCTTGTACTACCTCAAAAGGCTTTGTTTTTTTTTTCTCTTTCTAAGATGTACCGCCTCAAAGATCTATGCTCGTGCATGAAAGCTTGTGTATTGTAATCCTCCTTTGCAGTGTTGGTTTTGCCTTGTGCAGGATTTGCAGCGGCAGGGGCATCTCTGGATCTTGCAGGGTATCTCTGGGGCAATTTTCTGCCAGCTTGGACGTTACTAAACTGGTATAGAGATTGGTCTAGGTAGGGAGATCAGCCATCATGTTTTTGTCTCGTGTTAGCATCATGATTGCAGAAAAAACACATAGTATTATCTCTGCCCATAAGTACAAGCATTAGAAACAAATAGCCAAAAAAAAAACTTAGGGCCCCTTTAAATTGTAGGAATAAAAAAAACTGGAGAAATAGGAAAACATAGGATTATATAGGAATGCATGTTTAAAATATAGGATTACAAAACACAAGAATGATCGCTTGATTGCATCACATAAAAACACTGGAATCGGACGAGAGAGATAGATTCAAAGGAATTTTTCCAAGAGGTAAATTTCCTCCAAAATCTATATGCAATGGGCGAAATAGGAATATTTCCTATAGGATTTCAATCATATGAAATTCCTCTACAAATTCTTTGATTAGAGAGGTTGTCGAAAAAAGGCGATCTATAGAGATTCCCCATCTATATCCAATCGAGAATAGAAGCGAGTCGCTTCCGGCGTCAGCTTGTAGTCTCTGCAGTCGGCACACCTTGTCAAGTTCCCTAACCCCCTTTATAGCTTCACGCTGTTTGAATAGTTCCAATTAATGGAATCGAAGTCATTACACGAGTGAGTTTAGCAAGCTGCTAGCACCTTCGCTAGATAGAGAGTAAGCGACTTCTATTAGCACCGGACCGTCGAGTCGAATTGATCATGTCATGTGCAACATCCATCAATGGTGGTTCATTAATGTCCATATAGATTTAGACTCCTTCCCCCCTCCCTTATACGCAAAAGATCAAGAGGGGCCCAAACCAAATCGAGAACGTAAACATAATTCGACTCACTCTTGTATGGCTCACCTTGTGTCTTTCCCTCGATCCCGAACCTTGACTAGATGGCCGTGTTAAGCTCCTAGTTTGACTGTTGGTGCCAAAGAGGCCCTTATAGTTCTGGATGGAAGTAGTGTTAAATCAATTGATTAAATTTCTTTTGATGAAACCTACCCACACGAGTCTAAATCCTAGGCTTGATATAGATTCTCGTATTAATAGCTACTCCCTCCGTTCCACGTTACAAGACGCATTGACTTTTTTGGTATGTCTATTTTCTATGTATCTAGGCAGGACGTACCAAAAAAGTCAAAGCGTCTTATAATGTGAAACGAAGGGAGTACTATTTTTCTTTCCGTAGTAAACGACATTCTCATTGATATCGAGGTGATTGTGTAAGATATGTTCTCAACCTAATCTTTCGGAAATACTCACAAGGGTAAGTTATGTGCGTGTTAATAGCAATGAGTGCCAGCATGTGTGACTATCTGCATTTGTCTGTGTTTCTCAAAAGGAAAAATCATGTTTTACTCCACATAGTAACTTGATTAGGGCTCTATGTATTGAGATTGAGCATATTTTGCAGAAATTAAACAAATCTTCTCCCATGAGTGAGCCCTATACAAACCTTGTGTTCTAAAGGTTCCCGCAAAATATATAAGAAGTTCGTGCACCTTTTGAAGCATAGAGAGTCAGTGGCCCTTGACTCAAGGTCAGGGCTGGGATTAAGGAACAGTGCAGCCGTGCAGGCATAATATGAGTTTGAGATACGGAGTATTTGGCAATGCAATGCCACCAAGTGATAAGGGCATCTCAAAGCATGGTTTCTAGTTGGGGCATGACCCTTGGCATGCATTGATGCAACTGCATTCTCTCCAATCAAACCAGAGCAAAAATGAGGGGGTTATCACTTATCAGGAGAGAGGAGGAATCCATATGCTTCAAGTTTGTATGCAAAAGATGTGTAGAAGCTTGAGAAGGACTCATTCACTCCTCCCATGTACAAGATGGCAGAGAATGGGGATCAGTGATGCACCATTTGACCATAGTGGAAACTGGAAAGAGTGAAGGAGCCCATGTGGAGAGCAATGGCTTGGAAGGAAGCCAAAAGGATGGAAAAGGGGAGTTCAATGTGGGAATAAAGGTCTCGCCAGATTGCTCCACATAGAGGATCAGATGTCAGATGTGTGGGCAAGGACTACCTCCCCTGCGTCACAATATTTATGTTTGCCAAGATATGTTTGTTTGTAGGACACTTGAATGAGCAGCTACTACTATAACATTTTTCACTTCCCCCCCTAATTTAATCAATGTACTACTGATCAATACATCGATTAATTCTAGTAGAGTACTCCACATCATTAATGGGAAAAAAAATATGTGCTGTGATTGAAGCCAATCTAGCCATCAGGTATATATAACCTAGCTTAAAAATATGCCGTGCACATGGTATCCATATGGCTGGTGGCTCTTATCAAAAGATGCAAAACCATAT